CAGATACATGCTCTTTTCCAAAATGACAGAGACAGGATGGTAATACATATACATATTATAAAAACCCAGAATGCATGTTGAATTGAGCAGTGTTATTTTAGTATTATTGAGATACTATTATAACATTTTGAGAAAGCCTTTATTTTTATATTTTTAGTTTTCATTTTAATTGTAGTTTATTTGATCTAATATTTATATTTTATTTTATTCAACGTGATCTCATGAGTATTCATATGTATTTTTACATATGTGTGTGGTTCTTCCACTTGCACTTTACACTGAAACGTACAATATTGACGTATTGACAGCACTAACATGTAAATTATTTACACATGAACAACTTCGTAGGACCACTATCTTCAAATACGATTGACAATTAGCATACAGTTTGGATTGGCGTTATGGTTCTGTTCGGGGCAAGAACTCCCAGCGCATTCATGCAGCCTAGCATGGATAAGAGCAGCAATAACCCCCCTTAGGGTAAACAGAACCAACGTGAATGTATTGCAGATCATCATTAATTAATAAAGATTTTAATGTACAACATAATTGAGAATTTAGTCTGATTTAAGAGGGAATCAGAATGCCAAATCCTGACTGACGAGAGGAGGAGCTGGGGATGGAGAAGGGTAATTAGCTTCTGAGAAACGCGATAGCTGCTGATAATACTGAAGGATTATATATGTATACAGTGATAGCCGTGGTATTCCTATAGGTAGACGTGGATCAGCTGAGAGTCAGCTGATGTGAGCTTGACTAATGTGACCTGCCAGAACTGACACTACGCTTGACATGTCTACGGATAACAATAAATAAATAAAATCATGGCCTTAATATTTTGAAATGTTAACATTACGCTCTTTTTTGTGTGACATCTGCTGTAAACTCATTTCGAAGAACTACATAATTAACATAAAACATTTCTGTAATCGTTTAACTATTATTTATCAAGTAATATTTATTTTATTTGCTGTGGAACAAACGCTTAAATGCTTCAAATGCACATTGAGTCTCGCCTGCTTCGTCAGTATCGTCACAGATTGTGACATGCCGTGTTTCCGTTGATGTGCGTTTAAATGAGAAATGTCCGCCTTCAAAGAGTGGATCGGGATAAGATTTTCAGAGATAACTTAAATTCGGCTTTTTAACCATACAAAACTGTTATACTGCGACTGCAACACAAAGTCATTTGAACTACATTTGGAACCACTTTTGACATTTTTGCAATAAATAAATTAGTATTATTACACTTGTCTATTATGTTTTTCTTTAGAACTACATATTTTTAAGAATGGGTAGGTTTAGAGGTAGGAGTGGGATTAGCAGCTCAAAATATATTTGAAATGCTATAGGTCTATTGTTACTGAAATTGTCATTTTCCTAAACATTTCTGTCCATTACATTTTATTATTTTTATATCCTCTATAAAATGGTCATGTTTAGGTTTGGGGGTAGGGTTAAGGGGTCTAAAATGTATCCATAAAAGGATTAAAAAAGGGCAATTATACAAATATCTATGATATAAAAGATTTGTAAATATTTTACATTTTCTTACCTTTAAAATAATACATAATAATGTTTGTTTAAATGTTGCCCCAATATGTCCATATTGCAAGTTTCAGCATCTATTCAAACGTACAACAATGTACGTTTTGTACTTGTAAATGTACAAATGTACCTACGTATTAACAATGAGACCAGGCTGTTTGATTTCAGCTTCATTTCAATAAACAAAAAAGATTTTTAATAGTTTTTAGTTAACAATAACAACACTGGAGCAGGGTTTAAATATAAACCTAAGATAGCAGATTATAAAATGGTTACAAAAATGTCAACTTATGTTTCACTCAATATTAAAATTATTGCTAAACATAGATTGGTATAATATTGATTATTTTATTATAACAAAATTATTTTTATTTTATTTTAGAATTATAAAATAATCTAACAAATAATATAATAATAACAATACATTTAATAATAAAATAAAAAATAATACATAATATAATCAAATATTTTATAATCAACAATTACATAACAATTTTTCCCAATATTTCTGTCTTTTTATTTTAGGCTTCACATAGTTATCTGAGCAACATGATAGCGTCAAACTCAAATTAAATTTATTGCAACTCAAATCTCTCTATTCTTTTGAGTATGCAATTCACTATGTTTTGGAACCGCGCAATAGTGTTGTACTCTTTGAGGGGGTGTGGCCCACTTCTCATTCTGGTCACACACACTGCGTGTATGGTCACATGAGATTGTTGCCTCTTTGGTGCTGTGCAGAGTGCATGCGAGTGACATTGCCCATGGACACAGACTTGTGGAATGCATTGAGAGAGAGAGAGACGAAACAAGAGGTTGTCATGGCAACAGGGCCAGATTGGTGAGAGAGAAGAGGAGATATGAGAAGGGAGATATGAAGGAGAGAGGGTTGTGCCTGTGCATACACAGACGGACAGATCAGTGAGAGAGAGAGAGTGAAAGCGGGAAGCTGAGAAGGTATAAAAGCAAGAAACAGACTGAAAGAGAGAGAGAGAGAGAGAGAAAGAAAGAAAGAAAGGGCAAACAGATCTATAGAGGCTTGGTTGTTCCAATAAAAGCTTCACACTTCAGATTAAAAATGTGTGAGCCAGCTGGCCTCCACAGCCTGAAGGAACAGAGGCCTGAAGAGTTCGTGTGGATGCGTTTAAGTGATCTGTTCTCAATAACGTATACATACTTTATGTACTTACATTTAGTCATTTAGCGATTTACAATGAGGAAAGTGTCATATTGGATCCTCTCTCTATAGCTTTGGAACACATCACATACTGTATACCTCACACATTCTGATCAATTCCACCATTGGCCATAGACAGAACTCAGCCCACATGGAATTGGTGCACAAAGAACTCTGAAGGATCTATGCAGAATTTGCTCAGGGCTGTATAAGAGGAATGTTCCGGGTTCAGTACAAGTTAAGCACTGTTGACAGCATTCGTTTACCAAAAGAATTAAGGTCATTCCTTTTCTTTAAATAAAAAAGGCAAAAATCTGGTTTATGATGAGGCACTTACGATGGAAGTGAACAGGGCCAATCCATAAACGGTTTCAACCGTTTATAGCCAAAAAACAAACAATATGTGTGTGTGACAAAATGATTTTAGCGTGAAAAAATATATATATTAAAATTTCAAAAATGTAATCGCTTAATAACATTTTTGTAAAGTTATATCCAAGTTTACTTGGATATAACTTTACTTTGGGTTTTGCTTTTTTAAATTATTATTATCTTCTTTCTTTTTTTAAAGATAATCAACAAATGCTGTCACAAATGCTGTGGAACTTGTACTGAACCCAGAATAGTCCCTTAACTGTAATATCCCTTTATCTGTTTAAGTCATAATTGTGCCAAATTGTGCTTCTCCCCAACAAAAAACAGCAGAAAATGCAGAAAAGTCAGGTGTAGGCCCAGTAGACACAATCCAACACACTTACAAATTATGCCACATCGCTATCTGTAACCTCTCTTATTCGGTACATAGATCTGATGCCCTTCAAGGCCGGCTTCCTGGGGTGTAACTCAACCTGGAAATGAAGACATGTTCTATTTCTCACAAGAGAAAATATCTCAAATCGATGGATATTTCAGATGACTGTTCCCTCCATAATGATAGCTTTGGTTTGATTAAAGTGAAACATTTCTTCCTGCTAAAGGTCAATGAGTTCATTGACACTGACATTAAAGTGAGAAAGCTTTTGGGAAAGGGCACAATGGGATTATGAGTCTTATATTGTCACTGATAGAATGCATTAGCAGAGGAATCGTAAGATGAAGCTTCCCATCAGCACCAAACCATTTTACTTATGTATTAGGCCGAGGGAAACGATATCTGCTGTGGCTGGAGTCTATCGATGTTTACCACATCTGTTTTCCTTTAGATTAGATTACTGGTTGTGTCTTTAATGCATAGAGTCTTTAATAGAATGATTTTTATTATTATTAAAGGAACATTCCAGGTTCAGTATACCGGTAAGTTAATATCCATTGACAATTGTGGCATAATGTAATCAAAATGCTCAATGTTTCAACAGTATAGCCAAAGATGTAAACAAAATGTGTGTTAAAGGAATGGTTCAAAATTCTGTCATCATTTACTCGCCCTCCAGTTGTTCCGTCTTCTGTCGAACACAAAATAAGATATTTTTAAAGAATTTTGGTAACCAAACAGTTGACGGTAGCCATTGACTTCCATAGTAAGAAAAATTTTTACTATGGAAGTCAATGGCTACCATCAACTGTTTGATTACAGACATTCTTCAAAATATCTTCTTTTATGTTCAGCAGAAGAAGAAAAAAATCATAAATTTTTGGGTGAACTATCCCTTTAACATGAATCATGATTGGAGTTTGGAAGAAAAAACTGTAAAACAACTGTAAAAAATTATTTAAACAGCTCTACAGCTCAAATATTACAATAAGTTTTAACAATAATACAAAAAGGTTTTATAATTACTATATTATATTATTTATTCACTATTGTATATAAATTAATATTATTATAAACTATCTTCACAGTGCATGGCCCCATTTAATCTCATTGCAAGTGCCTCATCTCTATTTTTTTAAGAAAATAAAATAACTGAACCTGGAATATTCCTATAAAAAAAAATGTTTTACCAAATGTAAAAAAGTTTGAAGGTCTCTTTAAAACCATATGTATCCTTACTGAGTTCAATTCATTATAGCTCATAGTTGCACTGCAGCCACAGGAACTATAAAGCTAAGGCTACAAGCCACTGTCATTTACCCATGCCATCTGATTTTCCTGAATCATCTTACACAAAACAGTATATATTTGTCTTCCATAAATGTTCTTCGGTCTTGCTTTAAAGTAAAGTGAAATTACAGCGGACCATACGTGTTTTAATTATAATCCATAAGGTTATAATTACAATGGGAATGCCACTCTTTAATGAGTGTTTCAGCTTATCAGGGTTTGTGTTGTACTCACTTTACGCTCCTTGTCTCCGTACTCCAGCCCCAGTGTGTCCATGGCACGCACGATAGCGGCCAGAGATTGGATGGTGTTGCTGAAGACCACTGGCTTGTACTGCTTCACATCATCACCAGAGAAACCGTCCTCATGGATAATCCTACACACATAACAGAAGCCATGTTAGGGAGCATGCAGTTTGTGTGTGTGTGTGTGTGTGTGTGTGTGTGTGTGTGTGTGTGTGTGTGTGTGTGTGTGTGTGTGTGTGTGTGTGTGTGTGTGTGTGTGTGTGTGTGTGTGTGTGTGTGTGTGTGTGTGTGTGTGTGTGTGTGTGTGTGTGTGTGTGGACTGCTGATCCGCCATGCGGCTGTCCTACCCTGCTCTCAGTATTGATACATTTAAATAAAGTTTACTTTAACGCCATTACAGTTAATTTATGCATAATTTCCAAAGTCAGTGAGTGACAATTAGATGTAACATGATCTAAATCAGAGGCACTCAACTTCATGAGACCAAGAGGATCAAAAACAAATGATGAGATTATAATATTTTTAATGTAAGACTGAATGCTATACCGACTAGATTCGTTTACACAAACATATTTTGCTATTTTAATCTCGTTCAAATCAAGCAATTCAAACATCAAACATTGTGTCACACAAGCTCTGTAAAATATTAACAGAGCAAATGACCTACTGTTTTTCAGCAAATTCCACAGAGAAATTAATCCTGAAATCAAAAAAAAAATGTGTGTTTTTTTCACAATGTTTCTCCTCATTTATTTTTGCTTCCATTCATTGAATATCTTGTGACTACCATAACTAACTTTCTGGGTAAAAAAGGTAGTGGTTCAAGTATTGTTGGCATCTCATATATGCACACACATTATCCATTAGTTTCTTCAACCTATTGGCAACACTCAAACCAAACCAAAAAACAAACACTGCCATCTTAGTAGTTACAGAGATACAAATCCCATCCAGATCAGTATATTTGACAGTAGCTGATTTCACCTTATGTGTCAGTCAGTCAGTCAAAAATAAAAAAAGAGTGTTGCAACATTTTGTTAATCCTGCCAGTACATTATGTTATGCAAAACATTTCGAAAAAGCAATCAAGGACCTGGATGATGCATTCATTCACACAGGCATTCTAGTGATAAATACTTTAGATTCACATTGTCAATAAATATGATATATGAGACGTACAGTCAAGCACACAAATCTTCCTACAACTTTTGAATTAGTATACATTCATAACTACGCATGTCAAAAGCCACATGCCGAGTGCCTTCTAAATGATAAATGCAATTGATGAATGATTAATGATTTTATTAGCTGACTACTACTGTAGCCACAGTATAACCAAATAGCTATTGTCTCTTCATTTTGTGCTACTGAAAAACCAGTGGAAGATGAAGTTTTGTGATGAGGAGGGGGTATTAATCATCATGTTCAGTGGATTACAGCATTAGTTGTGTCTCTATTATCCAACATTGTGTTGGAGTGCAGCGTGTCCTATGTGGACATCCTCCTGATTCCTAAGTTATGTTGTACATTGTCGTGGGTTTTACTTTCTCTTATTAAATGCCTTTTCCCTCACTCACTCTCACATTTAATATTTGAACCTCGTTGCCCATTAGCTACAATAAAATGGTGTCATTTCTGCGTTAGACAGCATGCCGGACTTTGATCTGGGGAAAGTAGAGCATTCAGAACAGCAGCGATGGGTTTCTCACAGAGAATATGACCCCGCTGGAGCCAAACCACAAAGGGGGGCCCCAATGGCAGAAGGTTATTCTGTGGCTAAAACCCCTAATTCAATTGATTTCGCTGAAATTAGGTTTGGACATCTGTCAGTTCTGCAAAACTGAAAGATGGCAAGTCATTTTTAAATCTTGAGGCTTTGACCCCCCTTTTCAAATAATACATATATATTATATGCATTTCTTTAATGGATAATGGCATTGTCTGGCCTGAAAGCGAAAGCCAATGAATTATCACATCAGCGCTCGGCTGGTCTTAGTAAATGGTGTTAGTGCGGCATGAGAAAAGCCAGCCAGACTGGCAAAGCCTGGCATTATTCAGACCCAGACATCACACTGGTTTATTAGACTGGTGCCAGAGAGAGGTGTGATGAAGCATTGTTTGGGGATGATATTTTTGACCACTTGTATGCGCACACACACATAAATATACATAATCCCAGGTGACCTGAGGTCTATCATTAGCTCAGCATTGCACTTAGTTTCACTCTTACTGTGAAATGAATTTAAAATCACACAAAAAAAGCTAAAAAAATCAAATATCTAATTAAAAATCAAATACAATTTATAACACACAAAACTCAGATGAAACTGATTTAAACCGGTTAAACGAGTTATAAAAATGTTTTATAGGATTTAATATATATATATATATATATACATACATATCCATTATGAGCGATTAACAGCTGGTGCTAGCAAACCAATGAAAACCAGTGAGATTGTATGGCCATTCCCAAAATCTCTCTATATGTCTGTCTGTCACTCTCACTCTTTCACTTTTCTCAGATGACCACTAAATAATTCAGGTGATAAAAATAACAAATGTTTAGGGTCTTTTGAAAGTCGCAATATAAATAAGGACATCGGTCTTTGATTCCCGCGGGAGGATGGAAACATTGATCTGTTTCAAACGTGAGACACTGAAAGTAGACTCTCACTCAGAGGGCTCCTATTCCAGTCGACCTGGCAAAGACCAAGGGCCTGACACACACACACACACACACTCATGGAAATTGCCATCTTTGTTGGGACACTTTGTCCCCATTACGTGGGGTATACCTGAAACACACACACACACTGTTTTAGGCCCTGTTGACACCTGGTATTAAGATGCACTATGGTCGATCAGATCACAAGTGGAGGATGCTAAATACAGGTGTAAACGGGGTCTAAAATGTTTTGAGCTTGTCCAGTTTTGACCACTTCCAGAAGTAGCTGTTGATAACGCATTTGATCGGTCGAATGCTTTCGAACAGCCACGAAAGACCGCCTATACCCTTGCCTACTGACTTAATGCGTAAACGTTATGGGAAGCGCGCTAGCCAGACGGGATTTAAACGTTGTCGGGCTGAAGACCCAAGTTTAGTTTGAAGACGAAAAACATAGCAGGCACAATGTTCTCTTAACATTCCTGATCTAACACGCACTCACTTTGTTCGGCGTGATCTTGCAGCTATAAACACATACAATCACATACAAAATTGTTACAATCCGCCCTGAAACTGCGAGACACAAGCGAATGGGGCAAGATAGGGTTTTTGCACCGACATGACAATGCAGCCAGCATGAATGAGCGCTGGACTTGCCAAAAACATGATGAAATATGTTTTAAATAGACTGCAGCAATTACAATTTGGGCAGAACCTGTAGTAAGTCACGTTGTTTCGTTTAGTTATATGTTCAGAATCATGGGAGAAACATGATATACAAAACAATCGTGATTCCTAATTTATCCAGAATCATGCAGCTCTAGTGTTGGGTCTTTTTTTTTTAAAGAAATTAATACTTTTATTCAATGAGAATGCATTAAATTGAGCAAAAGTGACAGTAAAGAAAATTCGGTTTCAAATAAATGCTGTTTTGAACTATTCATCAAATGTGGGTAACAATTTGTTTTTCCTTTGTTAAAGGGTCGCCTCAACACATACATAAACGCAAGTTTTATGAAAGTCTTAATGCAAGCGAAGAACAGTGTATTTTTATTTTTTTTGGTCCAAATATTAAGCTAATATCGTAACACAAGCCCAGCCACTTACATTATGGTAGAAAGTTCACCCTATTGTCAAATGACAAATGAGTAGTAAAAACCACCAGAGAACCTCACAAACATTCCCACACAAGAGCCCCGTCAAACTAAGTTCTAACAGCTTCGGGCATCAAGTTTTAGGACCCACATGAAAAAGATATAATGAAGAGTTGTTACAAGAAGGGAGAAGACGAAGGAGTTTCTTGGAAAGTTTGTGTGAGGTTAACAGTCATTTTCATCTTCTCCTCTCCACTGATAAGGGCTGATCTCTGAAAGCCAGAATGTGGGCGGAGGACATCATTACAGCAACCTTTCCATCAGATGAACTTATTATAGAACAGCTCATTAAAGAAGAGAGAGAACAGAGTGAGAGAAAGGATCATCTCAGATTGGAAAACTTATGGCGTTCATGCATGAAGACTAATTTCCCACATCTCGCGGCTGTCTGTAAGGTATGTGTTTGTGTGTGTGTGTGTGTGTGTCCTGAGAGGTGCAGGATCTGGCCAGCACGAGCTCCTGCTGAGGTTATTACATAATCACGCCAACTGCGCTCTGTGACCTGTAACTTGGTTTGAGTACACTCAATCTTATTCGCACAAAGGGACAAATCATCACGGCATTCATCAGTGTGAAGAGCATGTGCAGTACTACGGATAGCTGAGTGATTCAAATGGTTAATTCAAAATGTTCATGTCATTTAAAACCTGTATAACTTTTTCTTCATGTTGTTCCAACCCCATATGAATTTCTTACTTCCATACAACACAAAAATAATGGTTTAGAAGAATTTCCAAGTTCCCCTTTTCCATACAATGAGAGTAAATGGGGACTGTCAAGCTTTAAAAAGGAAAAAAAAGAACATACCGGTAGTCCACATAGCTTTTGCACTATATTTCAATACTTCTGAAGCCATTTAATAGCTTCTCTGTGAGAAACAGACCTTAATGTTTGTTGATTGTTTGTTTAGTTTTTAGTTAACTAAAATGAAAACTAAAACTTTTAAAAATCATTTTCAGTAAAAAAAAAATTTCAGAAACAAGCGAAAAAAATAAAATGAAAATATATTCTATGAAAAACTTTATTGAAGATTGTAAACAGCAAAAAATAAGTGTAGAGTAAGTAGAAGTACTAAAATGACTAAAACTACATAGAAAATATATTTTAAAAGATTAATAAAAATGACAAAAGCACATTTAATACAATTTTAAATTAAAACTAAACTAAACTGAATACTGAAAATATAAAAATAAAAAACAATTTAAAATATTAATAAAAAATATATATAAGTATGTAAATAATACTAAAACTTTTATTTATTTATTTCATGGTGTTTTATCTTTTTTTTTGGGACCACCATCCAGTTTCA